TACATTAACTATACATCAATTAAATCATAAAATCTCAAAACCATTTAAATGTGATTTTAATAATTGTAATAAAATCTTTGCAAACACTTCAAGTTTAGGAAAACACAAAAATATAGCTCATTTAAATGTCCGATTTAATTGTGATTTCATTGAATGCAACAAAAGTTTTTCATCAAAACACTACTTATTTCGACACAAAAGTTGTGTTCATTTGATTGAAAGAAAATTTAGATGTAATGAAGAAAATAGTGTTCACTGTTTTTGGCCTAAATGTCAATACAAGACAACAACGAAAAATAATTTAACTCAACATCAATTAATGCATTCAAATATCAAACAATTTAAATGTAAGTTTAATAATTGTGATAAAGTTTTCACACATAAATCGACTTTAAGTCAACACAAAAAGAGCGTTCATTTAAATGTGAGATTTAATTGTGATTTTATTGAATGCCACAAAACATTTGCCAGAAAAGCAGATTTAATTCAACACAAAAGTTTTGTTCATTTGAATGAAACCAACTTTGAATGTAATGAACAAAATTGTGGCAAAAAATTCATTACAAAACGAAGTCTAATTTTTCACAAACGCATTCATTTGGGAGAAGGTATAGGTATCGTAAATACACAACCGGTTTTATTTTAATCTAACTTACCTGTAATTGTAAAAGACTTTAACAACAAATGCCAACAGACTGATAAAATATACCATGCCTACATTTATTTATTTACATTATAATTAATATTTAAATACATCAATCACATTTAACGCAATAACAATAATTAAAATATTCTTTATAAATCAATATAAATGCAAATATTAATCATGATTCTTTGGCATGCCGTACAGTACAATACGCTCACTACTAAAAGCCATCGTAAGTGTTGGGTATGTTATATCCCTGTCCGCCGTCGACCACCAGATTATGGCCAGTGATATACTGGGCGTCGGTTGAGGCCAAAAACACGGCCGCCTTCGCAATGTCCAGGGGCTGACCCACACGCCTGAGCGGCGCGTATTTGGCGGTCAACTCTTGCACCGGTAGTCCTATTTTGGGCGCATTGGTTGTGCCCGGACTATGCATATAGAAAATAATTTAGTATTAATCACCATGGTAATTAATCAAACATTTTAATCTTAAATACCTGATTGCATTGACGCGAACTCCTTTGGGGCCCAACTCGAGCGCCAACACCTCTGTCATCATAATTACAGCCGCTTTGGCTGAACTGTAGGCCAGGAATGGCACCGACTGTTTAAATATTTAGTATATGTTATAATGTTATGATAAATGACCAATATGCAAATGTTATAAATGGTCAACTAAATTGAATGATGGTATTAATTACCGGATGGAGACCACCGATACTCGATATATCAATGACAGTGCCGTTTGTCCTCTCCAGGTATGGCACCGCCTCGTGAACCATATGTACGACCGCTTTGACATCGATGTTAAACACCTGATCCCATTCATCTAGCAAGTTTTTATCATGTACGTCCGATTGTGGATATTGCCCCGCGTCGTTTACCAACACATCTAATCGGCCGTAAGCTTTGATGGTCTCCGAGATTAGACGCTCCACTCCACCCGCTTTTGTCAAATCTGATGACACTTCTAATGGCTATGAGAGTATGTATTATGTGATTGTAATTTTTATCATGTTCATTTTGTTTGATAGACATTTACCTTCAGCTTAAGAGGTGATAGTTGTTGCGCCTCCTGAGCGACAGTATGAATGCGGGAAACATTACGTCCGGTGACCACCACTTTGGCCCCCAAATAGGCAAACAGTTTGACAATACCCTCACCGATGCCAGAGCTGGAACCGGTCACCAAAACCACCTTGCCCGTAAAGTTGCGCGAGTTTTTCACTGTTTCGTAGTCAGCTAGATCGTTTTGGTGAATAGCGTTTACAACAGCCGCCAAAATTAATGCCAAAAATACTATTGATTTCATAGTTGTTTGGATTTTTAGTAAAATTTATTTTTCAAATTAAATTAAATTATTTAAAATTTACTAATAAAATGTTTAACAAAATTCACTGTTTATATACCTTTTGATAGTTTCTATTAATATTTTACCATTTTATACATTATAATTATCCATGATGCAAATAAATCATTTAATAATTTAATTGGCTAAACAAACTAGATAATGATTAAATGTGCATGCACTTGACTAAATGCCCTAAACCATGTTAGTTCATAGCGAAACAATAATCAATAAAGTGTAATTGTCAATTGAAATGTTGTAATAGGGATGTTGCGTGAACTTGCCAAGGTCGCATTTACCATATAAAACAAAACATGATAAATCATTCAATACAGGTGTTTTTTATTTTATAACCATAGATTTTATTCATTAATATAAGGATTGGAATAATGGTTTTCTTACAAATAATCAAGTTAATTTGAAGAATTTTATTCACAATAAAACATGTGTTTATATTTGTCATTAAGGAGTTTTCTTAAAATATAATATCTTGTCTTTAGTTTTATGTACATGAGTAATCCTTGTTCTTTATATGATTTATATATTATATTAAATCAATTATTAATTCATACTCTCTAGATCAGGACTCTGCTAACTCAATCCAAACGACTTTCAACTCCCCCGAAACGACTTTCAATTTTGTCAGCCCTTCGTCATTAGTTATGCCCTTTATATGATTCATACGAATATTAAAGTACAGTTACGTTATGAATGACAAATATAAAGGGCATAAGTGATAACGAAGGGCTGGCACATTGCCGGGGGTGCGTCAGAAAAGTTAGCAGATGACTACTCTAGATAAATATTTATAAATTATAATACATAATATTTTTACTATATAAAATAATACATTTACAATGATAACTTACTTGTAATAAATACAATACTAAGTTTTCCTACAATTCCAGGTAAGTTAGATTAAGGTAAAACCGGTTGTGTATTTATGCTACCAATACCTCCTCAATAAATGAAAACAATAAACGCATTGAAAACACGTGTATTTTTATTCATTGTTTGCTTGTGTTTAGCATTATATTTGTGAGACATTTGAAGTTTTAAATATAATTATTAATAAAATGTGTTCAAAATTAATGAGTGTTTTGTTGATTGAAATGAAGAGTAAATTCAATGCAATGAAGAGTTTGTGTGAAAT